CTTCTTTTTGCATTGCTGTTGTTCTGTGTTTGCCCCTTAGTCCGCTCTTACGGTACCTACAGGTTAGGTGGGTCACCACACGGGAAAGTAGTACACACAGTCCCACTGACGATTTAGTCTTAATCGTAAGTGGGACTCGTATAGTTGGCTAAATGTTGGCGTTTAAGACGCTTTACCCCTTTTTTTCTGTGCGGTACTTCTCTCGGATACCACCAGTGGGTGATTACCAGTAGCCGGGATACCAGGTATACCTTAGAAAGTAAAGCCCTGGTACCCCGACGTACCTCGGGCTGTCTACGGCTTATAGATGACCCCTCCTGTGTGGGAACCCGGATGTTCCCTTCCTGCCGCTCCGTAGCGCGTCGCGCCACCACTTTTTTTCTTTCGTATACAATTTTTATATAGTATCCTTTACGAGGGGTGATCAATAAGTAATGATAATCAATATGAAACAGAACTATTAGATTAAAAAAAGTATTTTATTTTTCAACATAGTCTCCTTGCAAGTTAATACATTTAGTGTATCTTTTTTCTAAGCCCATGATTCCCTTAGAAAAAAATTCTTTGTCTTGACCCTCCCAAAATGCCTCTACTGCGGCCATCACTTCAATATTGTCCTCAAATTTGTTGCCCCGGAGGTGTTCTTTGAGCCGAGGAAAGAGGTAAAAGTCACTGGGAGCTAGATCTGGCGAATAGGGAGGGTGTTCGAGCAGTTCGAACCCCGTTTCTTCAATGGCAGCCATCGCAACTGCGGCTTTGTGAGCCGGGGCGTTGTCTTGGTGAAACAGCACTCCAGCGCGCAGTTTACCGCGTCTTTTTGACTTAATAGCTTCTCGCAATCTTCTTATTTGGCCTGCGTAGTAAGAGCCTGTTATAGTGGCCCCCTTTTCCAAATATTCCACCATAATAATTCCTTCTGCATCCCAGAAAACAGACGCCATAACCTTTCCCGCTGAACTTGACACTTTGAATTTCTTCGGCGTTGGTGAGGAAGCTCGTTTCCAAGTCATTGATTGTTGTTTGGTTTCGGGATCAAAGTGGTGGATCCAGGTCTCGTCCATGGTCACAAAACGCGACAAAAAAATTCTTTATCGGCCTGGAACTTTTGAAGATTCACCCTCGAAATGTCGACTCGTTTCTTTTTTTGCTCGTCGGTTAACATTCTCGGTACCCACGCGCAGAGACCTTTTTCATATGCATTTTGTTGACAATGATTTTTTGAACGCTGCCATAGGAGATCCCTGTGACCTCAGCTACATGCCTTACGGTCAACATTCGATCGGCCAACACGATATCTTCCACTTTTTTGACGTTTTCTCCAGTAAGGGACGTGGAAGGGCGTCCCTCGCGATGTTCATCTTCAGTGGAGGTTCTGCCCAGCTTAAATTCCTTTGCCCAGCGTGCGACTGTGGAATATGGAGGAGCAGACTCCCCCAATGTTTCCTCTAAGTCGCTGTGTATGTCTTTGGTAGACATTTTTTTCAGGCAGAGGTACTTGATGACAGCTCTTATTTCATTTTTCTCCATTTTGATGTTTTCTCTTCGACAGTTCGTATTCAAATGAATGTATCTCCCGGTAATGGTGTCCTATTTATAAATTTTTTTGAAGCTGAAGTAGTGGATATATAAGCAAGCAGAAAAAAAATAATTTGGGTTTTTGTGCGTTCTAGAAATACTCGATTATCATTACTTATTGATCACCCCTCGTACATGTTCTTAACGTTATCATAACCCAATTATTACACGGATTTAATACAAGTACTTATATTCATATCAAAGAGAACGGTGTTATCTAAGATTAACAAAAAATTGTGTCCAGTTTGAACTTCAGCTGTTTTCTTTAGATAATTTAGTATAGAGCTGTTGATATAAAGCTAAAGTCATTATACTGACTTAAGGCTTAATCTGATAAGATTAATATAATAAAGGAAATAAAAATATAACTGAATACAGAAACTTTTTTTTTGTGAATTTTTTTATGATTAACATTGTTATACATAAATTATTTATGTAAAATAAAATTTATACATTTATGTATTTAATTATCTTGTACTGTATTACTAAGTGTATAAGTACAGTGTTTTCATAGAATAGAACTTTATCGCAAATACTACAAATTGGACAGAAATATAAATACAAAATATGAAACAATTTATCTTTTAATTAAAATCCATTTAATTCCTCGTTTCTCATTAATCATCTTAATGAGATAAATATGAGTCGAAAAGTTTTTTCTGTCATATTTTAGTATCACTTGATAAAAAAAAGATTGTAAATTAGATAGATACATTTTTTTATCGACTCATTCGAAAAATTAGTCAATAATTTATTTATGTATATTTTTTTGTGTAACTACTACTAATCACTACAAATTGTTAAAGTGATAATTGATTAAATTATAAAAATACCTTATGTAATAATCATAAAATAATATTTATTTCAGACTTTATCCATGTTGTACGCGTTTATCTTACAATTTTATTTTATAAAAGGCAATTTAAGAGAAAATAAAATAAAAATTATAACAAAAACAAAACAGTTACTATTTGATTAAGATTGGAATACTTTTTTTCACAAACGCATAATCATACTTATCACATAATCATACTTATCCGCGATTACCTTTAGAATGCTAATGGTGCTGCCTCTTTATTGGCCTTGCATTTGCTTAACAAAGACGTTACCCGCTTGCATATGATAGCATGGTAGCCATCAACTCTAGCTTACGTAAGCTCCTGCTAGACGCACTACAGAATCGGGGCTGACCCAATAACATCTTAAAGTCATTGTTTAGCTGAAAACGTTGGGCATCGATCTTTAATATCCATACTTATATTATAAAATATATCAAAGAAAGTTAGTTTGTTTGTTACGCCTCCGCGCCTAAACCACTTAAACGATTTTAAAAATTCTTTTACCAATGGAAAGCTACATTATCAGACAGTAACTTAGTCTACCTTTTACCGAGATAACCGACATAGACGCGGGCCGAGCCGTGGGCAAATTAAGCTGGTATAATATTAATATCATTTAAAATTTTGAATGAAAAATGCATATTGAAATAAATTAGTTTCAGAGTTCCGAGACAGATACAGGTTCGACGCTGATAGTGAACCGCGGCCATGATACTTTAGATTAGTCGCTAATACCTTTTATTTATTTTTCAGCTACTCATGGCAAATCATCATGACAAGTTAAGATATTAAGTAATACGCTATGATAACATTTCATCAGTTCAAAAGTTTACATTAATAAGGAAATTCGGTAATATCTTGTAGATATTATAGAAAACTTATGATATTTTCATAGTAAATAATTTAAACTGTATTCAATTTTATGAAATTTCTTGATTTTTCATAAAGTAACCTTATTTTGAAACTGCAAAATTGATCTTGAGAGTTTATCGACATAGCTAACAGTTTGTAATAAAAATAATAATTTAATTAATTAAAATCTGAATTTACGAGTATGTTGTTAAACATAAAAAATATTTTCTTTCCACAATATTCCCAACTTTAATCATATTTCTGTAATGACCTGTTCGAGTTTAGTCCAGTAATATAAAGTTCAGCTTAGAATTTTTTGATTATTTATTACTGATTTATGATTAATTAAAGATCCATTTATTTTCCGATTGATAAAACATTATATGCATTAAGTATGCAGTTTGTGTATACGAATGTGCAACAAAAAAGGTAAAATATGAACGTTAGCATCAGTGTTAGTGTTATTAGTGTAATAAGATCCAATAGAGTAATAAAAGCCTACAATAGTGTTACACTGATGTTTTGAAAAGTTGAATAAGTTGAATAAGCTGATAAAAAAATACAATTTTTCAAATAGAATGTAGATGTTAGAGCGCATAACCTAAACAATACTGGTTAATTCGTTTTGTTTAGTCAACAATTTATTGTTGAATCAATAGACACTCGTACGCTTGATGAACATACATTATTAGATCTAAAACAAAACATTGCACTCATTCCTACACACACACTACATTAAATAGACCGGGTATATTTGTATACAATCAAGCTGGTTTATCCATTGATCAAGATCTATGGACAAACTATGGTTAGCCTTAAAGAAACACGCTCTTTGCTTTATAAATGGGACGATTATGTGTACTATAAATGCATCTATATAATCTAAACAAAAGAAGACAATTGAAATTACTATGTAGCAGAAAACGTCAATTTATGAATTTTTTTATCTGCCTTTTTATTTTGGTTAATATCCGGCACATGTTGAGTAGTTTTCATTGGACCTCCTCAATGGCAAAAACTTGATTTTATTTGGAATGACTTTGGCTATTTTTACTTATCTTACACAGTTCTTTTGGTGATGTGCATTTGTTTCATCGCTTTTTTGACAACTTCCGTCAATACTTTGTCATTTTCTAAACCATATTGGATTATATGCATGTGGTGTTTACCTACATAAGTTGTGCACTTAGATTAAGGTTAATATGTTCTATTTTTTACGAATATTTTTGTGTAATAATTTCTGGTGAACCAATAAATAAAAAATGACAATGAGTATATAGTACGAGTATTAGTAGTTATTTTCCTTAGATAAGAGTTAGGACATAAATTGACATCAATATATCATAATTAAGTAATAAAAAAGAAGATAACCGATAAATAGTGATATTATTTTAGTAGCATTTCTTTGTTTAAGCAATAGTTGCGAATCTAAAGAGTTATGTTTTTAAAGTCCTCATGTAATATTATAAAAGCTCCTGATTTGCTTAGTAGCTTAGTCATACGAAAAAGTGTTATTATACATTATACTTTACTTATAAACTTTCAACTTGCTGCAGAATTTACAAATATCTAAACAAATGACACAAAGAACACCAAAACTTGGGACAACTAGTGTTTGTGGTACACACAAATGTTCGTCTCATGTGGGGATCGAACCTACAACATTTAATGCGGCTTGTGACAAGAAAATTGCTTAAACCGATGCTATATACAAAGATGACAAAGTTCACTTACCTCAGGTAAACCTTTGCTCTTGAGCCACTTATTAGGTTCTTTCAAACAGAAGGTTCCATACATCAAGACTAATAGGAACATAAAAGTCGTCATTGAGAAAACTCCGTAATAGCCCATCCTCTGAAGCAGGAATCCACTCATGCCAATACCAATTGGCAAACCAGCTGTCATACAGAAATTTACTAAACCCACTCTAAATGTTCTCGATTCCTCAGAAGTAATATCACTTATGTAACTAAAAACACCCAAGAACATTGTAACCCAACCACCGGTAACTGCTGGGAAAAACGTCTCTAGGAAAACCGTGATCTCTACAGGTATTTCGTAAAAAAAGTATACATTGACCAAATTATTCAACGATGTCAAGACCTCGCCGTAAATTGGCAGCAATATAATTAATTTCCTGTTCCCTGTCCTGTCACTCCAGGATCCCAAAAACATTATTATTATACAAGGCAATGCTGTATGTATTATGCCCTTCCAGATATCAATAGAAGAAATGAGCTTTTGAACTTCTTTCTCATAGTGGGAAAAGTTGGTGCTCCTTTTCTGTACCAGTGCGTCGCAGATTTCGTCTCCAAAATTTAAGTTTACTCGACAAGCTTTATCCAGATTCAGGTTTCCCATGGCAAATCTTGATATTACACTTGGTATAATCAAACCAGCTAGCAATGGTTCTACTGTGATGTGCTCTTTTATGTGCCATAACTTTTCTGAAAATGTTTTGTTCTTATACAGATTCTGAACGACATCGGGTTGCAGAGGTTTCTCTTCAAGCTCCAAAGGTTTAGACTTGGCTTCAGCCATTTCAACTGTTATTTGCACTTAACTGTTTGTTTGAATTATATCACCATTGTTTATAAACACCACTTGAATACGACCGTTTGTTACTCGTACAATGTTTGATTTTACATCATGGCTGATATTTTTATAATGAAGAACTGTTTCTTTTATTATATGTCTTATCGATACTTTAATTTGTATCTATTACGCGTTGATAAAGATAAATTTAAATGATGTCTTTACAAATTATTATTTTACTGCTGATTAGGCTGATTAAAGTACTACCGCTTCGTTATATATTTTTTTCTTTAAGTGTGTCCAGGTATGTGGCTAGCTGGCGACTGGCATCTGTGAGAGAGAACATTGTTAATATACATAGTGCATGGAACGTTGTTATAAAGGAGAATTATACCGTTAGTGTGTTTTGTTATTTGTTTGGACTAATAATGACAGTGATTCTGAATCACTCAAGCCGTAATCATTGCAATTCCTTTTGTATGTGTCTTTCAACAACTGGCAGCTTTTTAATAAGTTTTTTTGGCAATTTATTAATGGTTTATCTTATATGTGTTTACTTTGCTTTACTGTAATATATGTCTTAAATCAATAAAAATAAATTCCATATGGCGTCTTGTTTTAGAAATTGTAAAAGATTTTCCTACCAAAGTTAGTTTTTTTGTTATCTCAAAAGCAAACAGACTAAAACCACTCAAATCAGTCCATTGCAAGGAGCTCAAAGTAAACCCTAAGAATTCTAAGAAAGATATCGAGGATCTTAGTGAGTCTAATTGGGGAAGATACCGTAAACACACAACGTACATACAAAAAACGGCAATCCTAAAAGTATTTGCTTTGTGATAAGTTTATATTTTAAAAATATATTTTAAAATTTGATAAAACCATCTATATGGTCAACCCTGGCTAGAATTGAATTTACCCAGATCGCAATATGGCGCGGTCGTTACGGAAAATATAATTAATTAAAAGAAATTTTGATTCAATGTGAACACTACTTTTAAATGTGTGACGAACTCTTTGAATTCGCTAGTATGATAATGCTTAAAATATTTTAGTTTAGTAGCCCTTTAAGTTAAATTTTTGGTACTTTAAGAGGATTTCACCAGGATAACTATCTATCGAATCTTATTTATAATATTAGATTTAGAGTACTATTGGTAAGCATTCATAAACAGACAAAGCCAATAAAATTTGCCTGAGCTGGCAGTCAATCTATTACCTCAATGTCACTGTGAATTCTTTTGGTTTTATAAAATATAATTTTGATAGGATGTTTTATTAGGTGTCCACGACTTATTTAACGGATTTTTTATCATCTAACTTAGTTTATAAGGCAGTAACGTTTTCTTTTTGTAGTTTTTGTTACATTTCTACATTTTCTATTTGATTTAAAATGTCATAAGTGATGGAAAGATAGATATAATATCTACATATAACGTGACGAGTGTCTAGCACCATGATATACTTGACTTATAATTATTTTTTTGTGGACGGGGTGGAAAATCCTTTCTGATCTCCTGCACCTCAGGGGCTCAGGCGCCAGGAGTATGTGGTGATTCCACTAATAACCGGCCGGCCTCACGTTTCCTACTCTGGGAGGACCCGGACCATGTTATTTCAGATCCTCCCCGAATTGACACCATTCCTAATCAGGCCCTATCCCAGTGAAAACACTTCTCCCCCTCCCAGCAATGGCATCCTGATTGCTTCTTAATGCAATCAGGCTACCATTCTATTCCCGTGATGTGCTTGGCTTACCCAGTAAATGTAATACTTCGATATCCCTACCTCGTTTTAATTAGGGAAATATGTGTCATTACACCGATCTTATAGTGTTATCGCGCTTGGGATATACCAACACGTCTGGCCGGCATGGTATAGTAGGCCAAAACCTCCTGTCTAAGGAGAGGCATATGTCCAGCAGTGGACTATCAAAGGCTGTTGATGAGGAAGATGATCTCTTTAATTCACGCGTGTATATCAATAACTATATTAGCCATCCATTATATTGGTTCCTTCTCAGACAATGCAACAGAGTCGTGTACTAGTAATGAATATTAATAATAATAATATTCTACCACATTCACACAACGCCATCTAGTCCCCAACTAAGTAGAGCTTGTACTATGGCTACCAGACAACTGATATAAATACATACGTATTATACTTAGAAACACCCAGACCAAATCAAACATTAAATGTTTATTAACACCAATGTTTTGACTTTTGAATAGCAGTCAGCTACACAAACCACAAATGATCAAATAAACAATTACTTATTACATTTTACCTATGCTGCTAATAATCCTATAGATAATTATTTAAGGGTTTAATGACACAGATTGACAACAGATTGATTGAATAATGACCCAATTTAACACAGAAATTTCAAATTTATTCATATACATCCGTAACGTCGGTAATACAATTAAATTTGGGGATATTTAAAAAAAATATGTAGCAAAGGTTACCTCATATTCTGGTAGGCCAGTATTTTTTAACTGCAATGGTCTATAAAAAGATGGAATTATACTAATCACGAAATAAAACTAAATTCAAAAGTGTCAAAATTTTACTGATCGCCTGGCTGTCTATTTATTTATTATTATGAGTAGGTACAACTTCCAAAAATGTTCATTGTAATTTAATGTAATAGTATGGCCTTCTCTGAACACTGAATGTATGTACACATATTTAAAATTTCACAATGAATGGTTGAAAAGTGACACCATATTAAAAGAATAAACTCACATTTTCATTTATTATTCAATTATAGTTATATAATTATGTACAGATCCATATTATTTTATTGTTTACCACATCAACACCTGCACAAACCATTGAGTTTTAATTTGTTTAGATTAGGATATGGTATATGTGTTTATAGGTACACACTAGTAGGTAGTAAAAAAATATTATAAATGATTAAAATAACAATCTGGGTCTTTCTGCGTGTTACCTTTTAATCATAAATCCAATATTTTTATGAGTCAAACTCTGAAACAAGAATCTACGATTTATCGCTTTTTGAAACAGAATTTTTGACGGCAATACATTGTACTATTATTATACGAGAATACTGTTAATAATTAAATAAACTTGTTGTGTAACAATTAAATTACACATGTCAATATATTATAAAAGATATCAGAACGCGTATAATTACACAATTTATATATTTACACTTGATAGTGTTATTTATTTGTTTAATATAGCAATATATCGCGTGTGAATGCGTTTGTTCAGTGTGCAAACATTTAATATCTAATCAACCTAGTTAATTTAATGTTAGTTAATATTATTGCAAACGTAAACATTTGAGGAAATTTTACTTTTTAAACAATGTTTATTGGTTTGCTCTAGTAAATCATAGACAAAAAAATATTTAATCAATAAGATTATTGGTGTTCATAATCGTTGAGAATACTCCTTACGCAGCCTGGAAATTTGAAATGCTATGTCTCTTTCGGTTTTTATCAATAGTAATTGTACATATTTAACTATCATGCTTCGATTCGTTTAATTCATAACTCAAACTGAAAAATAATGGGATACGGAACTCTGCACTGCTGATGCGAAGTAGAGAACTCTGATAACTAAATGAAATACGTATAATACTAAAAAAATAGGTATAATACTGGACACGATGACTCCTGCAGGAGACTGTACTCGGGGTTGTACGGTCCATTTCCCTTTATGGGGCCCTAATATGGGCGGGGGCCCCATCAGGGTCATAAGGGGGTACCGCATTATCGCGGCGGTAAGACCCGTTATGGAGGATTGGCTCGAGATCACTGGGCAAGGATGCTTCGGGGATCACCTATGTTCGATCCAGAAGGAGCCAATGCCTGCGATGGCCCCCACCAGTTCACGCCTCTGCTGCTTGGGGGTGGGCGGGGGGGGGGGGCATTAGGGTAACATTATTGTGTCCATGGTGCGGAGTGAGAGTGCGTGTAACTCCGCCGTCCTCGGGAGAGGTTTAGAACCCTCCCGGCCCGCTAGGCCCGGGCCCAGGCCCGGGCGCGTGTCTTTTCGGGAGCACAAAGGGAACATGGGGGGAGGGGTCATCTACCCGCCGTAGATGGCCCGTGGTATGTCGGGGTACCAGGGATTTCTTTTCTAGGGTACACCTGGTTCCCCGGCTACTGGTACCCGAGACGGCGTGCGGTTTTTAGTCGGTTCGAGTCCGACATAGCCACCGGTGGGTGGTATCCGATTGGATTTCCGCACAGACAAAAAAGACATTTATAAATACCTTGTAATATAGACACAAACCTAGAACCCATTTTGGAATATTTTATATATTTTATTTTATATCTCACTAGCTGTACCCTGCCACCTGCCACTGTGGTACATTGTCGTTGGATTGATGAAAATAAGGAACACCATTGACGCGAAAATTAGATAAAAATAATCTTTGAAGTTAGTTGTATATCGAGTCAGAATTTAAGCTCAATCGGTGGAGAACTTTTTGAGTTTTGGAAGCCCACACAAACCAACTTAACAATTATACCTATATAGTACACTAGCTGGTACTCATGACTTCGCTGTCTTAGTTTGTTCGATTCCCGTACCGAGCAAAATTTAGGGTTTTTCTGAGTGGAAAAATAGCCTCAGTTACTTCTTATATAGACAGCAACTTTGTAGTAAAATATTATAAAAATCGGTAGAGCCGTTTAGAAGATTACCCGGAACAAACAGACGGACAAAAAAAACTGGTTTTAAGACATAGGTATCGTGCAAATAACCGTGTGAGCATGAAAAAAAACTATTATTTTGACATTACAAACAGACACTATTTTATTTATTTGTGTAGACATAGATATACATTATTATTCGTAGAGATATACACATATATTAAATATATTCCTAAGTGTATGTACATAATTATATTTTAATTATGTAAGTAGACAGAAAAAAGTCTTATTTATTAAATTTTATCTTATATATAAAATTCTCGTGTCACAATGTTAGGTACCATACTCCTCCGATACGGCTGGACCGAT